CCTAGAAATACTGATTTGCTATCCCCAAATCTGAAAAACTAAAATGCCAGGAATTTGAAAGCACTGAGAAATGTGCTTTTTTTTTCCACTGTATGTTGTAATTGTAAAATGTATCATTAGTACTGAATAAATACACATGTGTAAATAGAGCACCTGCTGCTCTTGCAGAGGACCTGAGTTCAGTTCCCAGCAATATACATATATGTCTCATGGGAGCTAGCTTTGAACTATGCAATCAAGGATAACCTTGAACTCCTGATTCTGATCTTCCTGCTTCTACTTTCCAAGTGCTGGGAGTTTATGCAGTGCAGAGGAGCCCAGTGCTTTCTGTATGCTAGGGAAGCACACTGCCAAGTGGGCTACATTTCCAGCCTTGATGACTTTTAAATTTTAAAAATTCTGAAGAATTTATAAGTTTTGCTATTAGTGTTACTTGTTAAAGAGGGTAACATTTTCTGCTACCTAACTACACAGGATTTTCAAATTCAACCATTAGATAGAAAAATAACATTAGCCTCTAGAAAGTAGTTGTTCAGACTTATAAAGAAAATAGGGAATTGCCTGTTATATGAAATGCTCAACTTCAATAGTTCTGCGATATGTACAATCATTCCTACTTAGATCTAAGTGTTCAATTTTAGCCATCATTCAGTCATTTAAATATATGCTCAACAATGAGATACTAAAAGACACAGATATTATGTATCAAAATCAGGGTAAGAGGAGCTCCAAAAATACCCATTTTCTAAAAAAAATATTTTATTTATTATTTTTATTTTATGTGTATGGGTGTTATGCCTACATGTAGGTAAGTGTACCAGTGCAGTGCAATGCCTGTTGAGGACAGAAGAGACTGTCAGATCCCTTGGAACTGGAGTTACAGACAGTTGTTATCTGCCATGTAGGTGCTGGGATTCGAACCTGGGTCTTCTGCTAGAACAGTCAGTGTTCTTAACTGCTGAGCCATTGCTCCAGGCCCCAAAATATTCATTTTTAAAAAGTATTTTCACGGGCAGTCTTATGAGGTTGTACAAGGAAATAATTATCAACAGGTAACTATTTTGGGGCTTAGTCTTTCATTTGTTAAAGAAATAGATTTATTGACAAAGTATGAAATTTGGACGATCTTTTATTACTTTTGTAAAATTACTTGAAATTGTTTATATTTACTATCAATGTACTCAACAATGAGTGTGCTTCCTGCCCAATGATTTAAGATTTTAAAATTCTTAAGTATTTGGCATGTGAAAAATTAATATCTCTCAGTAATATTTGTTAAGCATGTTAGACTTCCATCACTGTAAAAATATATAATAAACAACTTAAAGCAGGGAAAGTTTGTTTTGACTCACGTTTTTAAAAGTCCATCCATAGTCACTTGGACACATCACTTTGGGCCTATGATAACACAGTACATCATGACAGGAATGCACTGTAGAAGGCCCACTTACATTATGGCAGCTGGAAAGCAAAAAGAGAAAAGAGACCAAGACTAACCTAATATCTCCTTCAAGAGTATAACACTGGTGATCTTTCTCCAACTTTGCCATACCTCTTAAAGGGTCTATTACTTCCCAGCAGAACCATGGGCTGAAGATCAAGCATTTAATACAAGGGCCTTTGGAGACTTTCAGATGCATTTTTTTTCTTTCTTTCTTTTTTGGTCTTTTTGAAACAGGGTCTCCTTGTAGCCCCAGCTGGCCTGGAACTCACGATGTAGACCAGGCTGGCCTTGAACTCAGATATTCCCCTGCCTCTGCCTCCGAGTGCTGGGATTAAAGGTGTGTGTCACCACGCCTGGCTTCAGATGCAAGTTATAGCAGTATTTATGAAGATACACATCCCTAAGGTTTTGAGAATCCTAATTAATGAAGCACTTCATGAACAAGATCAAGAATCTCTTCCTTTAAGAAAAGAATTCTAAAAATGTAATACTTTTTTTAAAATTGTAAGATATAATGCCTCATGTCATTACCATAGTTTTGCTAGAAGAATTAACCAATATTAGACAAGTAACATAAAACATAAACCTTAGAAAAAGGTTTTTATAATATGCAGATAATATGCTTTAAGGTAAAAACACATGAAAGTCTACCTAAAACACTTTAAGAATCAAAGAGTATCTATGAAGGACAGAAAAATTAATATGGCAGAACTATTTCTTACAAATGCCAATAGTGTTTAAAATATACAAAAACCCAATTCAAAGTAAAACTATATAAATATCAAAGACAACTTGAATATAAGATCATTAGAACTGAAGAAAACAAATTAACCATATGGTAAATAAGATTGTACTGATTTTTAAAAAATTACTTAAAAAAATAAAATTAACCAAGGAACTAAAAATTATGCCAATGTAGTTGAACAGGGTATAGTTAGAAGATACACTAGATTTTATACCAAAATTTAGTATAAAGTTATATCAATAACAAAATACTGAGATAGCATACTACCTTTCAATGGGAAAAATGTATGTAGCAAAGTATTTAAAAATGGCAAAATGATGGCCGGGCATGGTGGCACATGCCTTTAATCCCAGCACTTGGGAGGCAGAGGTCGGCGGATCTTTGTGAGTTCGAGGCCAGCCTGGTCTACATAGTGAGTTCCAGGACAGCTGGGGTTACAGGGAGACCCTGTCTCAAAAAGAGAAAAGAAAAAAAAAAAAAATTTAAACCTGATTTACTTATGATGGTGAAATTTGGGGATACACTATGGAATATTCATTAAATTAAGTATTGTATGGGTACTTAACACTTTCAAACAACCTGTGAAAACCACTAAGATTAAACTAAAATAAAAATTATACCTGGGCATGGAGGCACACACCTTTAACCCTAGAATTTGGGAGGCAGAAGCAGGTGGTGGATCTCTGTGAGATGGAGTCCAGTCTGGTTTATATAGAGTTCCAGGCCAGCTGGGGTTACAGGGACATCTGTCTCAAAAAGATTAAAAAAAAAAAAAAATTCTGGCGCTCAATGGCTCAGTCAGTAAACTGCTTGCCACATAAATGTGAGTTTGGATTCCCACTATCTATGTAAAAATCCAAAGCAGCAGTGCAGGCCTGGGGAAATGGAGACAGGAGGATCCCCAGGGCTTGCTGGCCAACCCGTCTAGCTGGATTGGTAACCTCCATGTTCCATGAGAGACCTTGTCTCAAAAAAAAAAAAAAAAAAGGTGAAAATGCAATTGTAGAAGGCACCCAACTTGTTTCTGTCTTCCATGCATACATACACAAATGACGCCCCCTGCCCCCAGACACACAGATACACATGTGCACACACACAACCAATACAAAACCAAGAAAAGTTACAAAATGCCAACCTGATTGTTTACAATGACCATCTGCTGAACCTTCTCTATGCATATCTTGCATAAACCACTTTATAACATTATCTCCTCATAACCCCAACAGAGATGAAATCAGTAAATCTCAACAAGTTCCACAGATAAATAGGAATAATGCTTATAGTAGTAAACTTGCTCAAGCCTTTCAGCAGTTTTAACCAGTTAAGAGTAGAAAGTTCATTTAAATTCTCTTCATTTTTATGAAATTTAGAAAACTTTCTGTAGCTGCCAGGAGTGGTAGCCCAAGACTAATCCCAGCAGTTGGGAGGCAGAGGCTAGCGGATCTCTGTGAGATCAAGGCCAGCCTGGTCTACAAAGTGAGTTCAAGGGAGACCATCTCAAAAAACAAAAAAAATAGAGAAATGTTCCATAGCAATACATTTTGCTTTATGAGAACAGAGTACTTTAAAATATACCAGAAAAAAAATTTAATATGATCAAAAGTTAATTTTTTTTTGTAGCAAACATTAGAAAGCAAGAAAACATTAGTCTGGATTTGTCTGTAAAAATAGAATCTTTTTGTTTTGGGAAAAGCTCTGACTATGCAGCCTATATTAATCTTAAACTCACAATTCTCCTGCTTCTGGAATTACAGACATGCTCCAGTACATCCAGCAGAATCTGTTTCTCATAACGCACATTCATTTGATAGCTAAGAGAGTAACTCCAAACACCTACAGATGAAAAACTGAGCATGTCATGATGGTAGTAGTCTGTGCCTTTGAAACTTGAATTTTTAAAAATCATTTAGCTTTTAGAGTAGATTATAGAAGAAAGCTATGACATATGAGTCTATATGATAAACCTAATATTCAGAGGGCTTATGTTTGGTTTGTGAAATCATGGATAATTTATATTTCATGCTTTATTTTCCTGTGCTTTTTGTAGGACAAATTTATATCAGAAAAGCTTATCCAATTTATGAAAATACTTTTTTCAGTCAATTATTTTAGAGCCACTTAAAATTTCCATCTTAAATGGAGTTCCAGGTTTAATGACTATTTTTTTTTTTTAATGTATATGGTGTTATGCCTGCATGTATGTAAGTGCACCCAGTCCTGTGGTGCTCTCAGAGGCATCAGATCCCTGGAACTGGCATTGCGGATGGTTGTTAGCCACCATGTGGGTGCTGGGATTCAAACCTGGGTCTTCTACAAGAGCAGTCAGTGCTTTTAACCCCTGAGCCATCTCTCCAGTTTGAGTCTAGATTTAATTAAGATTAACATAGTCTCAGTCCACTATTTGTATGATTACCAAGAGAGCTGTCAACTGCAGAAAACTGGAAAGTAAAAGAAGAGGTAAGATGTGTAAGGCTGTATAGGGTGATGCAGATAAGACAGTTAGCTTATCCTCGTTACAGAGTACTTGGTTAATTACAAAACAACAGAGTCAAATGCAATTAGGAGAAGGTAGACGTTATCTTTCAACAAAGGAAAAATATGTACAAAAGACAAGCTGTGTAATAAGTATCACCTTGGCATGTCAGAATCAGCACTGAAAAAGTAACAGATCAATATCGTTAGAAATAAACCACAGCAAAGTTACCCTCAAAAGATCAAAATGCAGCAGGGACAAATCTGGTCTCAAAAATTAATTGAATAGCCTTCATTTGTAAAACTGTAAGCATCTAAGGAAAAAAGGCAATACAAACATCAGTTAAATAATATTTATTATATAAAGAGATCCTATAACTTGATATGAAAACAAAGTAACCCCAATAGATATCACAAAGACAAGGGACATAACATTTGACCAGAGAAAACACAGCTAGCCAAAGTACACAAGTATCAATCTCATTAATAACAAAAGAAATGATTGGGATACCATATTTTGCTTATTCAATACACAAAGTTGGAAGCAATTTTTACCTTATCTAAAAGTACTCAAATGTACCACTTTAAGTAATAAACAAGTATCATTTTTTAAAAAAAGTAGGAAAATTTCTGCCAATGCAGAAATCATAAAGAGCATTAATTAAAATTGGTCAACACTTGTATGGGCAGTAAGTTCAGACTCCCAAAAGCCAAGTCCATTTCTCTTGGTTCCTGAGTTACATTAAGTGATTCCAAATAAAGCTGTTCCTGATTTACACTCCCATAATCCTCCAGGGACAGACATGTACATACTCATGTATATATATAATTTCTTCCTTCAGGTGAACAATTTTTCCAGGAATGTGCCTATTCAGAATTACACATTACCAAGGACTCCTTTGTTCGTAAGGTTTCTTTAAAGTTTCCCATGTACTGAACCAATAAGAACACCCACAGTATTGAAGAAGCTGAAGTTCTACTTTGTTGCCTTCTGCAGCTGGCTTCCTAGGGAATCTGAAATTGGCCCTGTCCTCGAGGCAAGGCTAAAAAAACCAAATTTCTGATCTGATGCTAAGCAGTGCACATGCTCTGCTTGCTCAGATCATAGTCTTGAGACAGATCACACAACTCAGGATGCACACAGGCTGAAGCAACCCCAAGACAACAGGACAGTCACTCACATCACACAATGATCATGCCAGAGTGACTAAGCTAAAAGATGGAACTTAAAATCCTATAGTTTTGTTCAAAATATTTCTTTGCCTTCTTTTCTCCCAAATTTTACAGGAAAAAGTAGAAAAAAAACGAGAAAAGCAAAAGCAATTCTCTGAAACTTGAATTTTGCTAAATAACCTATATACAAATAACTATAGAAAACATATATACAGAACACTAATGTACTTTTCATTTAAATAATTTAATCAAATGACAAATTTGGCTGTCAGTTTGACTTGCTGTAGCCCTTAGCTATCTAAATTCTATGTAAGACCATGACACATTTACTCTCAGGTACTGATTTCCCATTTAAATATAATTAGCTATTTTGTGGAATTAAAAAAAAAAGAATAATTTCACTACAGTTGAAGTTTTAATGATCCAGAAGTTTGTATGTATGAATACACCTATTTTTGTGTGTGCATGTATATTTGTCTATGTATACACATTTTTTTTTTCCTCTTCTCTCTCCAGGGAGAGATATCAAATCCTGACGTAGGACTGTTTCTTCTAGCTAATATTTTTATTCTTTCTTCTGTCTGCCTGAGAAACTTCATATAATCTAAGTGCAGTCACACAATCTAGCTAACAGATTGTCAAAAACTCTAAACAAGGGAGGTAACTTGGCAACCTTTTATTATTTTAGTATAGGTGGCCTCGATGTTTTCAGTGAGATTAAAACTTTCAACTCTCAACTATAATAGACTTAATTATACTTTTACTATGATCACCTACAATTTGATACACATAACACCACAAAAAGATATCTAATCTTCTACATTCTTTTCACTTGTTAAAACAGCTGAATATATTGAATACATTTTCAGAATACACTTGTCATTTGCTAAACATACTAAGTCAAACAAGACAAATAACCTGTTACCTTTTTGTCTAATAACTGCAACAATAGAAAATTGAGAGGAAGTATGAGATCATCTATGACACAATGAAAAGGTGTTACTCCTAAGAATGATCTGAAGGTGCTGAAAGAGGTGATTCCCTAGAAGGTGACCCAGGGTTTTCTTCAGGTGGAAAAACAGTGAGAGTACAAGCCCGAATGCCACCAAGTGACTCTGGAAGATCAAAAACTTTATGCCACTCATCTTTTTCTGGGTCGTATTTCTGGACAATTTCTACCATGCAACGATTATTCCAAGAATATCCACCAACAACATAGATTTTGTTTTCAAAGACAGCAACTCCAACATCACTTTGACCTCTTAACATAGCAGCAATAGGTGTCCACTGGTCAAGAGTTGGTGAATAGTATTCACAGCTTAGAACATCATCATAATCACTTGTTCCTCTGAAGTGGTTGCCACCAATTACATACAGCTTGTCTCCAACTGTACACATGCAATGCAGACCTCTGACTGTAGTCATTGGCGCCTTCTGTGTCCATTTGTCTGTATCTGGGTCAAAACACATGAGCTCATTTTGGAAAGTGTCATGGGTAATTCCTCCTGATATATACATTAAGCCCCCATATACTGTTCCAGCATGGCCATAGTGGGGCTCACTCATTTTGGCAACATAGCTCCATTCATTCATTCTTGGATTGTAACATTCTACTGTGGCCAGTTCACCAGCCGCACTGCGCCCACCAACTGCATATAAATGTCCTTTGAGGGCACTCAAGTGGAAGAACGTGCGCTTTTCATTTAATGATGCCACCTGCATCCATTTATTATATCGAGGATCAAATCTGAAAACTGTATCAACGGCAGTTTTTCCTTTCGTGTCATAATTACTCTGACCTCCAACTACATAAAGAAAATTTCCAATAACAGCAATGCCATGCTGGTATCGAGGAGCGTCCATGGGGGCTAACGATTTCCATTCTTGTGCCCTCTCATCGTACATCCTTAATTCTTTACTGACAACCAATTGCTGTCTCAAAACTCCTCCTAACGTAACCAAGTGAGTAGAATCAGATCGAATGGCAGTTCGGTCTGACTGCATCACTGGCTGCATATATGGCATCATTTGGTAATTACTAGCTTCCAAAAGTAAATTCACACAGGTATTATCTGTTCTCATGAAATCTACTGTCTGCACATAATTGATGAGGTCCTGAGGTGTCATCAGTGGAAATCGAATATTCTTCATTAATTTTGCAGCATAATCCATCCGAGGGTCTTCCAGCCTCAACCAGCGGCAGGCTGCCTTGAAGAGTTCGAGTTCAGTACAGTGTTTGAGACTGTTACTGGAAAGCACGAAGGCAAGTCGTTCAAAGGGGAGTTTTAGGAACTCCCCAGTACTCAATAAAGCAGGAAAGTTCTTCAGGATGAAATTATTAACATATTTATCCACTTCTATAAGATTGTAAGTGTTAGCGATTCGTCCAACCTCAACACAGTTATCTAAAGAGACTCCTGATATAAGAAATACTTTACAAAAGTCCAAAACAGGTAAAATCTGTAGAAAGCTGGCAGCCTCAAGAGTGTCCTGAAGACTGTCCATATTAAGAGACAGTTTTGCAGTATAAATAAAATCAATTATTTTCTTTAGACCAACCTTGTTCACTCCATGAAGCTTAATGCACATTAAATCTTGTTCTTTCATTCCACCTGTAAACATGGCCTTGAAATAATCACTAGCAGACGCCATCATGGCTCTATGAACCGGGAAAATTTCATCTCCATCACCAGCTACCAGAGTCACGTCACAAAGCAATCCTTCTATTCTAAGCTGATCAAAGCCTTGCAATACCACGGAACTGTGAGTATTGCTGGTAAAAAACCGTGTGGTTCCTGCCTTGGAAGGCTGCAGATGGGCAGAGACACCCATTTCACCGTTACCAAGTGACACCTTCATGTGAATGCCTTGTTCTTGCAGAGTCTTAGGCAGCAGATGTAGTAACTGGAACGACTGTCGGGAAACCAGGCTGTCCACTGAACAAAGGGGTTGCTTTCCTGATCAACGGCAAGCAATCACAGCAGCAACCCGCGGGTCACACCAGTCAAGCATCCACTGAAAACTGCTGCAGCACGACCACAAAGGGCCGTGGGCCTCAAACCAGATTACTATGCAAGTGATTCATCACCTGAAGTTAAGTGACCGGGTTCACCTCGTCCTGCCGCCGCTGGTTCCTCCTGCAGTTCCGCTCCAGGCCGCGGGGGGAGGGGCCGCCACGTCCTGCTCCGCCGCTCGCTCTCCCGTCAGGCCCCCACCTCAACGAACAGCTGCACCCTCAGCCTTCACCGCAGCGTGGCCGCGCCCACTGCCTGGCCTCAAGTAAGGCCTGGAACACCGGCTCGGGCCTGGAACACCGGCCTAGTCCGGGACTCCGAGCCCGTCGTTCCGGAAAGGCCGAGTCCCAGAATTCCCCGGGCTAGGTGCGGCCACGCAGTTACTGCGCCTGCGCCCGCTAGGGTGCGCGGTGAGGGAGGGCGGAGGCACAGAAAAGCCAAATGGGACTTAAAAAGCTGAGCTGGCTCCATGTGCCTGCAATAGTGCACCTATAGCCAGCTGCGCAGTTGGTGTGGGTTTCTCAGGGAGCCCTTTCTCCAGTGCACTCTTAAAGATTTACATCTTCTGACAGAATAGCAATGAAAAGCTCTTTTTCATATTGAGAAGAAACTTGGCAGAAGAGGAGGATCACTGTAACATGCTGATTTCTTTTCCTCCAAAACACAATTTGCATCCTACGCAATTTAATAAGCACCTTATTTAAAACGTAGTTTCTAAAAATTTTTTCACCATTTAAAATACATGGCATTTGTTGGGCCATAGTATATAAACAATACATTTTCTTTTTTTTAAAAAAAAAATTTACTTATTCTTATTTTATATGTATGTGTGTATTGCCTGTATGTAAGTGCACCCGTGTCGTGCACTGCTGACGGAAGACAGAGAGGCTGTTGGATCCCCTGGAACTGGAGTTACAGACAGTTGTTAGCTGTCATGTGGGTGCTGAAATTCGAACCCGGGTCTCCTGCAAGAACAGTCAATGTTCTTAACTGCTGAACAATCTCTCCATCCCAATAATACATTTTCAATATTTGGCTGCAGAGGTAATCTTATCAAGAATAATGTTTTTATGCTTTTGTTTTCTAGCCACTATTTTTAAATGGTTACACAATTTCCCAATAGTTTGTTTTGCCCATGATTCTCTCCTGAAGATACAAACCCTGTGCTGCATTGTCTTATAGAAATCTGTAACCAACTCAGAGAAAATGGGCACAAAACTTAAACCTATTTTGGATAATTAATTATAGTATTTAGTAGAATAGGCAAGTCAATACTTCCAAAATATTGTCACTTCGCAGTGCTTGGGTTTGCATTATTGTTCTTGCCTGTCTCCGAAGTACTGAGAGTACAGGTGTGAGTCATCTGATTAGAGCTCAGTTCTGTAGCAGGGGAACCAAAGAAAAGAAATCCAATCAAAAAAAGTTCAGCTGTCTCTTGAAAACAAGGGAACACCGCCTGCCAGTCAAGGGCAGAATACTGCCTTGGGATAGTAAGAACAATAGTGGATGGGCTTGTGTTTTCCTTTCTTACCGACTAGAGCTCTGGGAAAGAGTTTGGTTAGTAACAGAAAAGAAAAACACCCTTTACTTTGAACTTTGCTTGATTTATGTTTTGCACACTAAATCCTTGGCTGATCCTGCTCATTAGGTATAGAGAGCCACTCTTAGAATTAAACTTGCCTTTCTCCACCTGAGAGTTTGGTCCTTTTCCTTCAACAATTCTGTCCTCCACCCACAGACCTGAGTCTCTATAGCCACCACACCCTGCAGTATGAGTATTTTCTTAACATGCAATTCTTTAATTAGTATCAAATTTTAATTTTGATATGGGAATGCATGCATAACTTGCCACAGTTTTCCAATATTCTCCAAAGTTTGAAGTTATTACTGTCTTTTAAATCCTTCCAGGAGTTATTTGTATGCAAACTGTGAAATTACTTGTATTCTTTTATTATACTTCTATATTTTTATGTAAGTAGCATATCTTACACTTTCTGCTATATCTTTTTTTGTTCAAAATTTTCCAAAATTGGTACATATAGAATGTATTTACAGCATGTTGACAACAGTATGTGTTGTTAGTTATATAACTAATCCCTTGGATGGATTCTCACCCTCTCTCTTCCTCCTTCCTTCCTTCTTTTTCCTGTTGTTTCTGGTGAATTTCATGAATTGCAGCATGACCCAGAAGGTGTCCTTAAAATGCTCTAGCAGATCTCTGACCTATTCAATACAAGAGGATAGTTGAAATGAGACACATCTTGAGAAGTTCTTCTCGGGACTGTGTCATCAAAGCGAAATCCTGAGACTTGCTTAGTGCAGGAATTGGGAGTGGAAAGATTCAAGTAATGACTCCATACTGGCCGTGAAGCTTTGTATTGGTTTTATATGTTATGATTTTATACCTCTCTTTTCAAATTTTGTAAGGGAAATTTCCCCTTTTGTGTATCACTTGATTATATTTTTATTGGCAAATGATTAATATTTCAAAATGTTTTAGTGCATTTTTACTTATTCATTTAAACTTTTCTAATACAAGTATCTATTTGATAACACTGAAATACTCCAACTTTGTAAATATATGTGTTATAAATAAAAGTAAACATATTGGAGATTTGTACTCGACATTTTTTTTTCTGGGGAGGGCATAAAATGATTACTATGATGCTGATTAGTGTGTTTTCATGACCCCAGAGTGTTCTGATTTAAAGAGGGGAGATACTATCTGGGAGCCCATATGTATGATTGTGTTGGGTTGATTGTTTGTTTGGGGCCATAAAGAAAAGTGTAAGTTTTACATATATGTGGCATTTTTTTTTCACATATACCCAGGATAGCTGTAGCTTTGAAACTGTGTGCCAACAGCACTGAGTGCCATGATTTCCTCCCTCAAGTTTGCTGTGGACTGTCTGGAGAACTCAATCTTCACTGACAACTTGAATGGATTTAGAATTGAAATGGCAAAAACTAACTGCATTTTGTTTCAGCTGACTTTTGCTTTACCCTGTGTTTTTGCCCAGCCATTCCCATTGCAACCAGCCAGGCAGAACATCTCATGCAGGTAGTTTCAGGGAGTACACTGTTTCAATAATATTGGGTAGCATGTTCAGATAGCATGTCTTCCCTCCCAGCTATACCTGGATCTCCATGGAGCCCATTGTTCCAATAATTCTGAGAACTTGTTTTTTTCCTAATCAAAACTTTTTGTTTCCTAATCAAAACCTCTTTGTTAACTGACCTGCCCCTTGTCTGGTGTAACTATGGTGATCTCAGGTAACTATAGTTATTGGCTTTGCCCCTGGCATGATGTAATTATGGTTTTAAGCTGTATAAAACCTGTTCTGCTTCTCCTCCAGATGGACAGTTCTTTTAAGCATTAGTCTCTCTTACTTCTGGCAATTAATAAAGGACTCCTAATTTGACCATCCCTATGTGCATCTTGCTTGGTATTATTAAAGAATCAGCTTAAAGATTGGCTGTGTCTGCAAAGGCATTTTCAGAGCAGATTAAATGGGGAGGGCAAGACTTATCTGAATGTGAGTGGCACCATCCCATAGACTGACAATTGGGATGGAATTAAGGGTTGGGGGAGATGCCATCTTAGCATCAGCATTCCACTTCTTTCTTCTTCTCTAGCATGAGGTAAGAAGGGCCTTCCTCCACTGTATGCTCCTGCCATACTGATATTCTCCCCAAGCTCCTGGGGCCAAGTGACCATGCACTGAATCCTCTGAAATCATGAGCCCAATAAATCTCCCTCTTTTAAGTTGTTTACATCAAGTATTTTGTTACAGTGATGCAAAATTAATGAAACCATGGAAACAATCACAAATTACCTTGCTAGAGACTGAATTTACAGAGAACCTCTGCCCTGCTAACACTGTGCCTCACCCCTTATCATCTCCTCTTATCTTCTTACAACATCTGCCTGGATAAACTGTTGTATCAGTCACAGCCAGCACCAGCACAAGTACAGTCAGGATCCTGAGCTCCCTCAAGGAGTTGGAAGGCTCAAGGGCTTATAGAATGAGATGAAGGTTAGGGAGGAAAGTTGATAGTGGCATTTCTACCCTATCTCCAGTTTCCTTGATTTGAGTTTATGAAGATAACCCACCTTCAAAATGCAATACTTTTCATAATATTCTCTGCTGAAATACAAATAAATATCTACTAGGCAAAGATTTCATACCTATAAAAAGAGAAATTCTAACCAAGACTGAAACGGCAAAACGCACTCTTATTCTAGCTGACTTTTGCTTTTCCTGTGATTCTGCCCCCTTTCTCTAACTCTAGTTAGCTATGCATAATGACCATGAAGACTACACCTACATTTCAGGGAATACATTATTTCTACAGTGCCGGGAAACTTACAAGTAATCAGACAGAACGTCCTCTCATTCAGCTATACCTGCATCTCCATGGAGTCCATTATTTCTACAACTTCGAGAAACTTGTTTTTCCTAACTGAAACTTAGAAACTTTTTCTTAAGTGAAAACCTCTTTGTTAACTGACCTGCCCCTCGTCTGGTGTAACTATGGTGATTTGATGTAACTATGGTTATTGGCTTTGACACTGGCATGATGTAATTGTGGTTTTAAGATTTTGTTGTTGTTGTTCATTTTTTTAACTTAAAAAATTTATTGAGAATTTCATACATGCATATATAAGGTGTTTTGATCAAATCCACTCCCACCCTCTCCCCTCCAACTTCTCCCATATATCCCCATCACTTTTCCCTGCACAACTTTGTGTACTCTTTATTTTTTTAGGAGGCTTTTTGCTATTCTAACATTGGTGGGGGGCTTTTTGAGACAAGGTCTCCTTGTAGCCCCTGCTGGCCTGGAACTCACTATGTAGACCAGGCTGGCCTTGAACTCACAGAGATCTATCTGCCTCTGTCTCCCAAGTGCTGGGATTAAAGGTATGTGCTATCACACCTGGAGAATCCTTAGTCTTAAGACACTAAATTTGGGGGATATTTGTTACTTAGCAGTAGGTAGTTGGTACACAGGGCAAGTTCATGGAAACAAAGCCTCATTCATGGAACTGAACCTGGGTACTGTGAAACCATTGGGAGGCATTGGTTCTCTCAGTCACTCTCCAAGACACATAGTCTTTCCTTGTAGCATGCCTGTGCCATCCCCTACTTCTGTCTCACTTTCCTTCCTCCTCCATCTATGAGCTCACCATCATCACATGACACCGGCCATGTCTTCCTGATTCACGTACATTCTCAGTGCCACATGCCAATGGATGAACTGCCACATCAGAGGTCCCTGTGTCAGTAGGCAATGTAGAGAAGAAGGGTCTCCAAGCAGTTGCTTGTGGTGGGACAGGCTGTATAATACTCGAGGAGGGATGTAA